TGTTCAGGGGGAGAATCCGCGGTTGGTTTGTCGTTTGAAAAAATCCTTATATGGATTGAAACAGTCTCCGAGAGCTTGGTTTGGCCGGTTTAGTAGTGTTGTCATGGAGTTCGGTCTGACAAGATGTGGAGTAGATCATTCTGTATTTTATCGGCATTCTAATGCTGGTAAAATTTTATTAGTTGTTTATGTGGATGACATTGTGATTACAGGTGATGATGTTGTGGGGATCCAGAAGCTTAAATCCAATATGCAGGCAAACTTTCAGACAAAGGATTTAGGTCATCTACAGTATTTTCTGGATATTGAGGTAGCTCGGTCTAAATATGGGATTTATTTATGTCAAAAGAAATATGTACTCGATATGTTGAGTGAAGTTGGGATGTTAGGTTGCCGACCTGTGGATACTCCTATGGATCCCAATGTGAAATTAGCAGGAGATCAAGGTGCATTACTTGATGATCCTAAGCAATATCGAAGACTTGTGGGTAAATTAAATTATCTCACTGTAACGAGACCTGACATTTCGTTTCCAGTGAGTGTTGTGAGTCAATTTCTTGATACCCCTCGTACTAGTCATTGGGATGCTGTTATACGGATTCTCAGGTATCTTAAGAGTGCTCCTGGAAAAGGGTTGCTGTATCAAAATCATGGACACGCTGATATTGAAGGATATAGTGATGCAGATTGGGCTGGTTCTGCCTCAGATCGAAGATCGACTACAGGATATTGTGTGTTCGTTGGTGGTAATTTAGTGTCGTGGAAGAGTAAGAAGCAAACAGTTGTATCCAGATCAAGTGCAGAATCTGAATACCGCGCTATGGCTCACACTGTGTGTGAGTTGGTTTGGTTGAAGAACATGTTACTTGAACTTGGGTTTGAGCATAAACAGCCTATGAATTTAGTGTGTGATAATCAGGCGGCTGTTCATATTGCGTCTAATCCAGTGTTTCATGAAAGGACAAAACATATTGAAGTTGATTGTCATTTCATTCGAGAGAAATTGCTTGACGGGGTCATCAAGACATCTCATGTACCGTCTGTAGATCAATTGGCTGATGTGTTTACCAAGAGCTTAGGGGGCTCTAGGGTGAAATACCTTTGTAACAAGTTGGGTGCTTATGATATATATGCTCCAACTTGAGGGGGAGTGTTAAGAGAATATAAGTATTCTTGTAGATAATAAATTAGTAAGGGTATTTTTGTAAATAGTTTATTAGGGTTGTACTCCTATAAATACTAGTTGGTCACTCATAATATGTGACTAGATGTTTTCCTCCCAAGATACCTGTTGACAAATAGCTTAAGCAAATATACAAAAGAATACATGAAAGAATAAACTTTGACACAAACTCAAATCAGTAGGACAAAGTATTAACTACCAATTCAAAATGACTCGGAATCTAACTATCACCAACATCAATTTCATAAGAATCATCTTATTACCAAAGCAAACAATTAGATAAGAAATCACACCATTCAAAAAATTCAATTGCAGTAGAAAAATCAATTGCAGTAGTTTTTTTGGCTTACCTTGTTCCAAATACTCCCTGCAAAAACTTTTTTCTCATAGTTGCTCCAAACCTATTCCAACAAAATCACGCCATTTAAATTGTACACAACAACCAAATTTGTGGGAAACAATAATATTAACACTAAATTACGCTAACAGAGTATCTAATTTCAGAATAGAAGCATTTAGCTCACAATAGAAACTATGATTTTACAAGCAAATCATACCATAAAAAAAAGAATAAAAGCTCACCTTAAGCTAAACCACCAAGAATAGTTTCAGCATAAAACCATATTGAAATCTAGAGTACAATGGCAGTACAAATAAGTATTTACTAGAAGATGAAAGGAACATAACGGAAGAATGTGAAGGAGAGCACATTTGAAGAAATGAAGATGAAACTGATGCTTAGTCATAAATTCCTTAATAAACGCTTTAATTGAGATGAAAATGGCATTTGAATGTCTTCAAGTTATAATAGTAAAGCAATGGTAATAATTGATACTATTTATAATTTAATTAACACAAGCCAATCAATGCCTCTATAAGGATATTTAAGTAATTACACCAATAAAGAAGCTATCATGGGTTATACTCATTGTAGAAAAGACAACCACATAATCACACATTCCTAAAATACCCAAACCTTTGAACAAATCACAAGAACATTTCAGTAAATATAAAAATACACATGCTATCTTAAATAGTACCCAATGTTATAATTACATTCAAAACAATCTTACAATCCTAAAATGCCCCTACTCTTACGGTTGAAATTCAAAACCATTTTTTGACCAAAACTCATTCTTATATATAGTATAAGGATTTAAATCTTCATGAATCTCATCCCTAATTTTTCTTAATGCATCTAAAATTCTTGGCTTGAATTCTCATATTGTAATGAAGAAATTATGAAGAGTTGTTGACACTTTAAGTGCTTCCTTCCACGTAACCGGCTTTAAAACTACTGTATCATCCTCAACTTGTATTCCAAAGCTATTGTATCATCCTCAATTGTTCTAAGTCTTTTTGGTCTTTTGATAATAGAAAAATTACATAAGTTACGTACACACATTGAAGACATTAATAGAATTAAATTATATTTATAAATCAAGAGATATAGATTGGTTTATATTTTTTTAGACTTTTAACCTCCTTTTATTAATAGAACAATTCATATTTTTATTAAATAAAACAAAACTTCAATTACTTAAATGAGTATTTCTTTGAATTATAAGTACACTCGATGAATTAATAAATTATTTTAATTAATTAATATCTCTTTTAATTAAAAAATTTGTATGATTCTAAAATCATTAATTTATAAAGATTTTACTATAGGACGAGGAACCAATCACATCGTTTCAAGGATCAGGACGTGACTCACTAAGCAAAGTACAATGAGAATTAATGCAAGACACATTGAGCCCACGGTTTCAAGTTTGTCCTCAGCTCCATGGTTTAGTCATACAGCCTTCAGTTTTCACCTACATCTCCACCAGCCCGCAATCCACAAAACTGGACCCACCATCCACTCTTTAAATCCATATCCAAAAAAAAAATGTTGTCCAGAAGTGACTAAAACCAAAGTACATGAGGGCATTATTATTTTTTTTTTTTGAAAATGATATGTGAATATATTGATGTTAATTACGAGTAAAGAATCAAGATGACTTTACAGTTAGTGTACATGAGGATCCACTTGCACCAACTTCAACATGAATTAAAAAGAAATTAATTACCAACTCCATCAATAAAAAAAATAAAAAAGGGTCACCTTGATTTTTGTAAGAATCCTCTTACATCGTCTTGGTCCGGGCGGTGAAGGATAATTCTGGATCCGCATAAGAATATTTTTTTATCAGCCAAAAGAATCTTCTTCATTTATGAAACATCTATCTTTGAACTGTATTTGTTTTTTTGTGTCCTATTGTATTGTTTGAGATAAGATGTTCACTAATTTTTTTCTCCTACTTCAACAAAAATTAATATTTTTATGATGCTTGACATAAAATTTTGATGAAATGAAAATTTAATTAACGTGTGAAACTACTCCGAAATGACGACACTAGATACTAGTAGCATATAAACATGCTACACATAAAGTAATTACTAGAAAAACTGAAAAATAGAAACTTTAGTTTCAACATGCAAAGATGATATTAAAAGATGATATATATATATATATATATATGTATACATATGTATGTATACATATGTATGAATTTATGTGGCAAGTTATACCAGTAATTTTAATTGGTTTTACATCATTGAAAAATTTTTATATTTTTAAAATAACTTTTTGATTATATGTCCAATACGCATAGAAAACATTATTATTATCATCCACTAATTGCCTAACTTTTGCCTATAAATTTTAAAATTTTACAACAATGAAACATTAGGCCTGTCAATCGGGCCTAATGAGCCGGGCTGTGATGAGTTCAAGCTCAACTCATTTAATTTGAAACATTTTCGGGGTTCGGGCTATGAGTTTCGGATTCGTAAATGTGAAGCTCATACTCAACTCACATAATATTCGGATTGTGAGCCTTAATCGGGCTTAGCCCAAGCTCACTTATTACTCCTTAATTTTCTTAATATAATTACTATAACTATTAAGTTGTAAAACTAAGTTAACATTTACAAGACTATAATATTAAAACTAAACATGAACAAATATAGTTCTTAAAAAGTATATAAACCAAAATTTTTTTCAACAATATTTATATTTAATCCATTTAAAATGCATGAAAAATAGTAATAAAACATGCGATCATAAGCCAATACATCTTTAAAAGTTGAAACTTTTTTTATAATCTTGTGATTTAAATCCAAATATGCTTGATGATTTTTGTGTTTGTAGACAAAAATAAAATCAACCAATAATATGCCAATACAAAAATTTACTCAACCAATAAGAAAAATTAGAGATTTAGTTATGCATTACTAATATTGGCTCTCAAGAAATCTCATGAAAGAATCTTTAGATGTATTTTTGTGTTTTGTAATTTATATATATATTTAGTATTTAGTAAAAATATATTTGGATATATAAATATTATATATATAGGTAATTAAAGGGCCGGGCCTATATCGGGTTTGAGCTTAATAAGGCCCAAGCTCGGCTCACATTTAATTCGGGCCTAATTTTTAAGCTCAAACTCAGACCGGCTCACTAAATGATTGGGCTTTCTGTCGGGCCGAACGAGCCGAACTCGGACTGGCCCAACCCCATTGACAGTCCTATGAAACATTGGGTCCACCTCTCATTCTGCGTCCAAAACACAAGTAGCCTTTCAAAAATTTTTATTACTTGATAATATTATTTTATCTAATCCAATAAGGCCATTTTTGTCATTTTGAAACACTAATTGACACACCAGTACATTAGCACAACTTTGCATTTATTTTAAAAATCGGGAACTCTCATGCCAATCAGGATAATCATTACAGCACAACAATGAGACCAGATCTTTAAAATATGCACAAATTTTGGATTTTTTAAAATCTGTTTCCATTGAAAACTCAAACCCTCTTCCAAAAAAAAAAAGAAAAAGAAAAGAGAATCCATTTTAGGAAAAAAATTCATACATTGAACTCCAATTCTTCACTTGTCAGTTTTCATTTCCTCTGAGAAGAATGGAAGCTGATGTTTCTATTCCCAAATTAAAACCCTAGTTTTAATTTTGTCAAATCTCTCTCTCTCTCTCTATCTCTTCCTCTCCATAGAATTGAAGAGTACTAGGGCTGAGATTTTTGTGGGGTTCTTGAGAAGATGATGAAGATGAATTTCTGTGTGTTCTTTTGTGGGATTTTTGTATCTTTAATGGCTATCACAACTTCAGGGAACGTGGTTTTGATTGGGAAAAACGTTACTTTATCATTTGCTGACATTGAAGCTACTTTTGGTGAGCTTAAATTTGATTCATTTGATTGCCTTTTTGTTCATTTCGGCTGAATTTTGTGTGCTGGTGTTTTATTTTTATTTTAATTTGGAAATCTGAATTCTGGTATTCGTGAATGCCGTTTGGTGGAATTTGGCATCTGGGTTTTGCTTAATTGTATCAATGGGAGCTTCTTTTGAAGTATGAATTGCTGAGTTTTGATCGTTTTGTATCGGGGTAGCGATTCGATTAATTCATGCTAAGCTTTTCTTGAACTGCCTTTAATTTGGAAAAAAAGGAAATAATCTTGATCTGAGCTTCAAACTGTAGATTTAAGTTGCAGAACGTGTGCATTTTCTTGTGAACTTGACTGGAATTTGTGTAATCATTTGACAAGTGCCCTTGGACTGAAGATCATTTGAATCTTTTTTCTTTTGTGAATTACTCATTGCATAAAAAAGATGGTTGGGAAGATAAAATGTAGTTGGGGGACGATTTAAAGAAATGGTACAAAAAAAACTTTTCTAATAATATATCCTACTTTTGGATTCGGGTATAGGAATATATTCACATAAAAATTTGCTAACAAAACACTTTAAAAGAATCTTTTCAAAGTTACCGTACTAGGACTTCTTTCTTCTGGTGACAGCTCAAAATACTCTGAGCTGTTTCCCAAGCGTAAGATATATTTACTGCAAGAATTAAACAAGTTGTATAAGGCATGCCTTTATGTTTCCTTTTTCTCACTTTTTGCTGTTAACTTTTAAGCACAGTGGCATCTGCTGATTTAGCTTGACTGCAATTGCAGCTCCATCAGTGAAAGCATCTGGGGAGGGTGGTACACTGTACATAGCGCAGCCATTGGATGCATGCTTACCATTGACTAATAAGGTCGACGATACTGATAGGAATGGTACCATTTCCCCTTTTGTGTTGATTATTAGGGGAGGATGTAGCTTCGAGGACAAAGTAAGAAGCGCTCAAAGTGCAGGTTTTAAAGCTGCCATTATCTATAACAGTGAAGACGATGAATTAGTTGCAAGTAATGTCATTTTCTCTCCATGGCTCAGACTTATTTAGTGTGTTATGTGTTCATACTTGTTTGGCAAAAAATCATCTGCCTGATTGATTTTAGTATGACAATATGACTTAGCAGTAGACAAAGAAGGAATTCTGTGCTTTGAGATAAATAAATAGAGGTAAGCTGACATTTCTCATTTACTGGCATCTGCTGAAAACTAAGTTAACCGTTTCTGAAACTGAATACACCTTGCGGATTTTTTCCCCTTCTTGTTGCCACTTGTCATCCAGTTTTCCATACTTGGGTGTGGTGTCATAAATGTCACCCTTTGTGTTGTTTTTTTTTTTTTTGCCATGTTTGAGGTAGGGTTTTATGGAACAAACTCTTTTGGTAATGTCTTACTAAGGCATTCCTTTTCTTGTGACGGTATAATTATAAAGGAAAGATGGGATTGACTGTGAAGTTTCCCTCGTGCGTGTAAAGCATAGAATTATGCATAAGGTTATTGCCTTTGCCATGCATTGTTATCACAGAAGAGAAGAATTTGATGAGAGGGAAAAATTGTTTTTTCTTCTTTCTTGTCCAAGTAATGAGACAGTGACACATTGTGTCAGTTATGTAGAGTTACATATCTAAAACTGCAGCTTAGTTGGTAGTAGGAGCTTCGGTTTAAGTTAATTGATGGTGCATCATTCTTAGCACATTGTAAGCAGTTAAATTTTGACGTGGCAAGATTCATTAAGAGAGAAATCCCTTAAGAAACCCTTGACGGGGTCAAAGATTGGTATCCCAGTGATATTCCTGTTATGTTAAATCGTAATGACTTTGAGTTTTAGGTCTTTATATTTGATTTTAAGCCCTTGGAGACAAGACTTAAAGTAGGTTGAAAATTATGTAAATGAAGTGAGTTTTTTCCTCCGAATTTCTTTTTCTTGAGTGGGCTAGACAGGCTCAGATACCCTAAGCCAGAAGGTCTTGGAAAGAGGGAAGCAAGTGTTATCTGAAAAAGTTAGATGCCAATATAATATGCTTCTTACTTTCTTTTAAGAACAATTATCTAATGAAGTCATTTGAAAATTGCAGTGGCAGGAAGTTCAGCTGGTATAAAAATAAATGCTGTCTTTGTTGCAAAACGTTCGGGGGAAATTCTTTCAAAGTGTGCTGTTGTTGCTGGGACTGAAGTGTGGATAATACCAAGCTTTGAGAACTCAGCATGGTCAATTATGGCTATCTCTTTCATTTCATTACTTGCCATGTCTGCAGTTCTGGCAACATGTTTCTTTGTTCGGAGGCATCGCATCCGAAGGGAGCACTCTCGAACTTCTCAGGTCAGAGAGTTCCATGGAATGAGTAGCCGTCTTGTAAGAGCCATGCCCAGCTTAATATTTACAGCTGTTCTCGATGATAACTGTACTTCAACAACATGTGCTATATGTCTAGAAGATTATATTGTTGGAGAGAAGCTGAGAATTCTTCCATGCCACCACAGTAAGTGTAAATACAGTTTTTTAGGTCTTACATTTAGAGAAACAATCTTGGTGGCTTATTCTTTCAGCATTACTTTGGATATTATATAGTTGACAGAATGGTGCATCTCTTGCTTTTGTATATCTAAGTTTTGCAAGAACTGATTATCTATTTCTTTATTTTATCAAATTGTTCTCAACTAATATGTTTATATTGTGATTCTTGTACTTGTTTAATGGATGCTGAACATCTTACATGTGAACTTGAATGGAAATCATCAGGTGTGTATATTTTGAATCAGTAGTAATTTTACATATTAAAGTTCCATGTTTTAGAGCTTTGGATTTCTGTATTATTGTTCCCAGAACCTCATTCTATTTTTGGTTAAAAAAAATATTTTCTCTGTATTTTGTTTGTACTTGTTGTTGGCTTAATGCATAATAATGATAATTTATGTGGCAGTCAAGATATCCCCTTTCAATCCTAATTTTAAAATCTCTTATTCAACAAACACTATGCATGGTGTTGGCAATTGCAGAATATGGGTGACTGTTGGAGTCCATTAAGAACAATATCTAACTTTATTTCCTTGGTACTTGTTTCTCATTATTTATTTTCCAACTATTGTGAAGTTCTTGTTCTAGCCTTTTGGCTAATCCTGTTGCTATGATGAGATCATGATATATGATCTAAGCTCATTTGTTGATTTTTCAAAGCTGACGTTCTACTGTAGATCCAGACCCTTTAAAAGAAATGTAGCTGAAAGAACTAGGATGAATTAACTGGTTTTTTCAGTATACTTCAACTATTAATGAAGTTTCCCATATTCTTTTGTAATGTGTCTTTGAAGTTAATTTAGCATGAACATAGAATAGTTGAACTTAGTCTAAGGAGATTCTTTGAAGTTGAAATCACTTGAGCATAGCATAGTTCTTAAAGCAAAAGAAAATGAACTGACCAAATGCATTATATCCCCATCTCATACCATAATACGAGAAAGATATAATAAGCGAGATAAAGTTTAGTTTAAATCTATTTAGTAACAGTAATAATATTCTTCCATATTCTATCACTATAAGCATCTGTATGTTTGATATTTCTATGGCTAAAAAAAAGTACATCTTCAATTCAATTTAGTTAATTAGGTTTCTTGCAAGTTAAGAAAATAAAATCAGCCAGATTGTATCTTGAAAGGGATAGGCTTTTGGCTTTAAATTTGTCAGTTGGTGGGACCTTTTTGCACTGTTGCAGTTTCCCTAGTTTTTTGGACACGCCCCTACTTTGCAAAGAGCTGATTTGTTTCCTGAAAAGGTATGACCTTCTTATTAAACTATTAATGGCATTGATGGGTGCTTGTTACTTCAAATATAACTGCAATGCATGGAAGTTGCAGTATTTTTGCGGCCCTTTGAGTTATATCTACAGCCATAATGTAAATTCGTTGATGCTTTGGTTCCTATTCCCTTGTCTATTAAGCACCAAAGAAAAAGTATGAAATATTTTCATATTTCATTTACAATTTGTTCCTGTAAATAGCACATTATGAGTGCAATTGCATTAAGAAGCCTGACCATATTTGTTGATTTTGGGTTTTTAGGGAGTCATTTTCGTTTTTGGTGTTTGCTGCTATGCCTTAGTTGTATATAGACCTCCTTTATAAATGAAGCTTTGGGTTCACTAACTAGATCATGGAATTGTAAGAATTCATGTCTAAGCTGTTTGCTGCCAGCTTCTCTTGGCATGTGTTTGTGTGTGAGATGATAGTGGTTGTGTCCATACTGTGTCTTGCAAAATACTACTACTCTTCATGGAATGATTGATTCTTGGAGCTTTTGACAGAATTCCATGCTATTTGTGTTGACGCTTGGCTTACATCATGGAGAACCTTCTGCCCTGTTTGCAAGCGTGATGCAAGAACTAGCACTGGTGAACCCCCAGCCTCTGAATCTACACCCTTGCTTTCATCTACTCCGGCTTCTGTTTCGTCATCATCTATGTTGTCATCCGTTAGATCATCATTAGCTTCATCGTCAGCCATACGAATAGTACCTGCATCTTCTCGGTCCCCTTCAGTCTCCCGTCCCAATTCCATTTCTAGCTCCACTCCGTACAACCTGCAGTCGCTCCGGTCTTATAACCAATCTCCTCATCTCAGTGTGAGCAGAAGCTCTGTTGATCTCAGAAATGCTTCCTCTCAAAGATCTCATGCATCCTATTTGTTTTCATCTCACCATTCACTGGGTTATCCTCCTTTGTCACCCCTTAATTCACGATTTATGTCTCCCTATGTTCCTAGTCCAGGCAATGCCTCATCTAGTTACATTGGTTCATCTAGTCAGCAGCCGCATCCACTTCACTATAGTGAGTCAGCTGCTAGCTTTTCACCATATACTTCAGCTTACTCACTCCCAGAATGTTAAACTGAATTTATAGTTGATTGTGGAGAAAGTGAGCAACATGGGTTAGAAGTGTTCAGTATGGTGAAATTTGACCAAAGAACATCACAAATCTTTGGGATGAGGGTTTAATGCGGCAAATTTTCTTGCAGATAACTCAGAAGGTGGGCGGACTGAGCCTAGTTTGTACATTGTAGTCTAAAATGTAGTTTGGTTTTAGCCAACATTTTTTATAATTATACATGAGGATATGACAAAGCAATGGGTGTTACATGTTTGTATGATTCTCCTTTTTACCATGTTAGCGATGTTTGATATACCCTCCTTGTTGATAGCCCGAAGAGGCCAGATGTAAAATTCTGTTGTTCAAGTTTCTCCCTCTCTCTCTCTCTCTCTATCTCTCTAGAATATAAAGGAGTGGTTCCAGAATAGTCCATCCTGCTGTTATTATCCTACTCACAGCACAGGGGTTTTTGGGGAAACAAGTTGGTCCTAATGTTTACTCTTACAGTTTTTGCTAAGGAACCGTTTGATGGAGTTAATAAGCCTTGGGGTACTTCAGCATTTTTTAGCTCGTGGCTAATAGGGTAAAAGTAAATGCATTCCTCTTTTGTTGGAAACCTTATTGAAAATTTTGACTTGTCCTGATGAACACATTCTCTAGAAAATTAAATGCATACTGAAAAAGTCTTTGCTTTAGTGACTTAATTTCCATGATAACACTTCCCCAAAAAAACCATATGCCTGTTTAAAACTTTTCTAAAACTATGACCTGAGACCCAAGCTAAAGTCATCTTGGACAGCATTGCAAATACTTCGCATGAAAAATTGAACACGTCTTACAGGTCCTCTTTCTACCTGCTGTTTGTCTACCTCTCCAACATTTTGACTAAATCTTATATACATTGACAGTGTACACACTATTATTGAATTCACGACATATATGCAAAAGTTGTGAATTATGGTAAGATTATTGAACCAAATGGTGTAGCCAAATTGGCTGGATTTTGCAAGATTCCTCTACTTTTGAATCTTTATACACCTTGTCGGTATTACGGGTTACTAATTTTAATGTAATTTCAAGTTATGTAGTTTTTCTTCTGATGGTTATTTCATAGGTAAGTAGTAGTTCTGATTCTCTTTTGTTATTGTGTATTGGATAGATGAATCAACACGTTGAAGCGGTTGATGCTTAAATTCAATACTTCATATCAACCCCTTAATTTGTATTTTAGTTGATTTTACTCAGTAGTTCTGATTAATATACTCTGGTTGATAAATAGGTAAATTTTGAGATTATTTTACTTAGCACAATGACTTAGTCATCAATTTATATTGTTCACAATTAATCTATATGAGTATGTTTTTGAGAAGATTGAATATTGTTGTTTTTATCCATTCTTACTTTGTCAAGACCTATCATGTTGATTGGATGGATCTTTTTTATTTTGGTTAAAAATATCGCATGAATATAATGTTTGTTGATTTAAGACACATTTTTGTTGTTGTCAGTCACTTTCCGATCCGGGTTTATTTGGATAGTGAAATTATCCCAAATCATATTTTACTTGCATCATAAACACATTTCCCAACTCACATTTTTATATTTTCAACCACCTTTTTATCTCACATACATCACATCACAAAAAATACTATGGTAATTATTCAAAATAATAACATATCCAAACAGACGCTTAATTTTTGTAATATTGGATTCAGGAAATTTAGTGAGTTGGTAATTCTGTTTCGAGCTTGAATTAGAAGAAAGCTTTTTATTTAATTAAAAGAAAAAATTTTCTTTAAATAATAGTTGCAGGTGAATGTTAAGGCTGACGAGGTTTTTTAACTTGGGTAATAGTTTTAGAAAAGAATCATAGTGGCAAATAGTTTTTTGAGATTTTTAGAAATTAACACCAGTGATCCTAATGACAACGAGGATTATATCGTATATTATTCTGTGGTCTAAGGACACCTGTAAATCCTAAAATAATGCAAACAAAAAAATTTTTTTGTTTCATTTTAGCCTAATAATTCAAATTATGTGAGGCCCTATAGATTAAAAAATCCCTTGAACAATGGTGATGTGTTTTTCAAATTAGAGCTAATGACATAAAAAGTCACAAAGTAAACGTTTTTTTAATAGTTGCCGTCAAGTTTGTTAGGAAGAAAAATCTCGAAAGATCAATCAAAGAGTTCAATATATAAGTCAGGAACTCAATTCTAATCCAAAAGTTTAAACTATTAGGTTTCGGAACTTTACTTACATATTAACCGCTCTCGAATCAATGTGAGATATAATCATTTTACTCATAAATCTAATCATCTTCCTCTGCATGAGTGCTCACGTTAAACTAAGTTTCCAAGTTCTTCTCCAAGCCCAATTAAGTTTACAGGCTCTTCTCCGAATCCACTTTAATACTCAACGACAACCCACATTAATACATAAGATCACCTTTTCTAGAAGAACCCACTTTAATACTTAACACAAATTCATTTTAACACCTAAGATCACTTTTTCTTCCAAACTAAGTTCACAAACTCTTCTTCGATCCTACTTTAATAGTCAACGCAAATTCACATTAAAACGTTAGGTCATCTTTTCTTCTAATCATGGATCCACTCTTTTTCAACATCTAAACTGGATTTCAGATTCTTGCCAATCCTCTATGGCGCACCTAATTCAACACCAGCCAAACTCTTTAGTATTTTGATCCACTACTAAGAAGAGTATTTTCACCGGTCTAATTCTGAAAAAATCCATTTGTCCATGAGTAGTCTAATCTTGCAACCAGAAATTTTGATACCTCTTGTTAGAGAGCTTCATGAGTAATCACTCACATTAAACTAAGTTTGCAAACTCTTCTCCAAACCCAACTAAGTTTACAAACTCTTTAACCAGTCCACATTAATACTCAACGCAAATCCACATTAACACGTAATGTCGCATTTTCTAGAAGAACCCATTATAATATTCAACGCAAATCCACTTTAATACCTAAAATCACCTTTTTTTCTAAACCAAGTTTACAAACCGTTCTCCGAGCCCACTTTAATACTCAACATAAGTCTACATTAACACATAAGGTCACTTTTTCTTCCAATCATGGACCTACTCTTCTTTAACATCCAAACTGGATTTCGGGCTCTTGCCAACCCTCCATAGTGCACCTGATTCAACTCCAGCCAAACTCTTTGGTACTTCGATCCATCATTAAGAAGAGAATTTTCACTAGTCCAACTCTGAGAATAATCCACTTGCCCATGTATAACCTAGTCTCGCAACCAGAGGCTCTGATACCACTTATTAGAGAGACAAATTTCGAGAGAACCCATCAAAGAACCTAATGTATAAGTTAGGAATCCAATTTTAACCCAAAAATTTAAATTATTAGGTTTTAGACCCTTATTTACATATTAACCGTTCTTTTTCCATCTCTCGAATCAATATAGGACATACTCTTTTATTTGTGCATCTAACAAAGTTTAGTATCAACAATGCATCATTACCTTAAATTTTTTAGCCTAATTGTTGTTAGGTCCAATGCCTGAATTCAATGGAATAACAAAAAATTTATGTTCAAAAGGGAAAAAAAAAAAATAAAAGAGTGACCTTCTTAGCTGAAAAAAAAGTCAAGTGACTAAATCATGTAATTTTAAATGGTTTAGAGATGTTTCATACCATTTACTCTACAACTTATTTAAGCTTTTTTGTTTAATTTAAAAATACCTTTATAATTTGAAGGGGAAAGTACATAAAACCCCCCTGTGGTTAAGGAAATTGACATGAAATCTCCTCATTATTAGAAACTCCCACTTAATCCCCCTGTGCTTTGGACTTGTTTGAATTTTACCTGCTAACCGGCTGGGGAGCTAGCGAGTGATATTTACGCGACTTAATGGTAACTTGTGTCTAGCAGAAACTCATTTCATTCCAATTTTGTCCTCCATGTCTCTTCCAAGCTTGCACCCACCATAGTTGTAGATCTGCAAATGAAAAATTTCGACAGAGAGATGCAAAACGAAGACCCAAAAACGTAAAGAGCTCAGCGCAACTTTGGATGGGTCAAGAAAAGCTTTGGAGGGGCTAAATCAGCTATCATTTCAAGGAAGAACCCAAAAATGTCAAACTCCCAAAATTTTGGTGGTGGATCGAGAGACTTAAGGTACCAAAATCGGCGTTGTTTCTGCAACAATAAAGCAAAGATTAAGGTAGTAGAATCTGAAAAACCATCAAAAGGTATGTTGTATTATGTATGTGAAACTGGTGCTTGTTCATTTTGGGCATGGTGCAACCCAATTAGTAGAGAGGGAGGCACTAATGAATCATCCTGCCAAAGTCCATACGTGGAAGGGGTTTCATCAATTCGACCTGCAACCGCGGAAAGATTTATCATCTCTGGGCAAGGAATAGAAAGTAATAACTGTAACATTATTATGGGATTACAATCGAAGATTCACAATGTCGAAGTAACGATGGGGCTGATGAAGATGATGATGATGCTGACTGTACTTGTGTCTCTTTTGTCACTGGTCGTTATATGTATGAGATGAATTTTGGGCAAAAAGTGTAATGTTTGGCTGTTTGGCCGTGTAATAGAATCTGGAGTTGGGAAATTGTAGTGAAGTTGTTTCAATTTGGAGTTGATTTTCATGTTTGAATTATAAATGAGCAACTGAAGCTGCTTTTGTTCAAGACATTGAAAAAGCCTGCTTCTGGTGTGGGACATATACAGAAAAACCTGAGATACCCAATTAAATGCAATGAAATTGTTATATTAAGTCATCAGATGCAAAGATATAACCAGCAATATTGATTTCCATAAACACTTGTCAGATTTAATCATCTTCAGCAAAGATATGGTCAGTGATATTGCCATCCATATTACCACAGCTAGATATAATAAATAAGCGAAGACATGCCATCCATAAACACAAAAATCAACTCATTACTACAACCATAGCACAATGGTATCCTACCATAATATGGTCAAAAGGTTCACCAGTATAGCTATACAGTCACAAATGCAACAGTCGATCAAAACATAGCCAATTTATCTGAGTACAATACCACAATGGCATCAGTCAACCAAACGATAGCCACAGTCAATGAAATCATTCACACAAAAACCATAATACAATATCCACGAGAGCAACAGTCAACCAAAAAATAACCAAAATTCTGAGTACAATGAAAAATACTGCAACATCCATCCATACCATAATGGCATCAGTACATTCAACCAATAAAATGACATATTCTACTTGGCATAAGCAGTATTGTTAATCAACAAAATCAGGAAAACAACTTTTCATTTTCTTGGTCTCTTGGAGCCACAATGTCGCAACCTTGACATCCTTGAAGTTGCAGCAGGTTGCTTTCTCTTTGAGAATCTGCTTTGCTGGCTTTCTTGGTTGGTACCACCTATAGGCTGATTTGGCTCCTACACGTACCTCGTCATGGTTAGTATATATGTAAGTATATTCCAGCATCCAAAAATGTTTGGCCAGTACTCTCTAGTACCTGTGAAAGTGTAGTAGCAGTACTTGAGACGCTTGCCTGAGCAGCAGAAGCTACGGATGTTGCATTTGAAGCTGTTTGACCAACTTTAGGTGCCTACAGTCCAAATCAAAATGAATTAGTATATAAGTAGCAACAAAACACACTAAACCATATTACAGTAGAGTGTAAAATGTTACATTACTTTGTGAAGTTTAGACTTAGGGTCAATCGCTGATTTGCAAGTACGTATGTTATGTCCAGTTTTCAAACATCTCCGACAGTAAACTGCAAGTCCTTTCCTACTTGCTTTCTGCTGATTTGTAGGCTCTTCTGGACCATTCTTTCTCTATTTTTTTGGCCTACCAGGCTGTTTTTTCACCAATGGTGGGTTCAGATATTGCATCTTGCTATCTACCCAGAACTGCTTCGAAGGAACGGGACCAATTGTGAAGTTGTAGGCCCTTAAATATGCTTCCCTATGGTAACAAGCATCAACATATTCCTCGAATTTCAGCTTTCTGCTCTGAATGCAGGCAACCGCATGCACGCAAGGAATGCCACTAAGCTAAAAATGACCACAGGTACAAGTTTTCAACTCCAAATTGACAACATTTGTCCTTCCATAACCATCAACTTCCAAATTTCCATTTCCTCCGTAAACCGCAACACAATTTCTTGCCTTTATCTTAAGTTTCTCCAATTTTTCATAAATGTTTGGACATAAAGTTCCACCATGTTTCAGCATGCCCTCTCGTTTGGTTACCAACCTTTGCATTAATCTCCTCCGAATCCACTCCAGCATTGTTATTATTGGCTCCCCTCTAGCTTTTAGAATGTAATTATTCCATGACTCACTCATGTTGTTAACGCAAGTGTCACCCCTACAAGCTGTACTAAAATGAGCTCTAGGCCATAATTTTGGAGGCAACCGTTTGAACCATCCCGCAACCGTTAGCTTGTCACCTTCCTGTGGGTCAGCCCTCTCAAGATTTGAAAGGGCAGTTTCATGCTCCGGCATGCTTGCTGCTGCAGCTACCTCCCAAAACAGATCTCTAAGGTCTTGATCCTTGAATCTTTGTTTGAAGTTCTCGAACATATGTTTCAAACAGAATCTGTGCTCTGATTCAGGAAATAATTCTTCAATTGCATGGACAAGACCCTTTTGCCTATCTGAGATGAAAGTGTAAGCCACTCCTTTGTTTCCTCTACCAATTTGGCTGATTAATTCCCGCAAAAACCAACTCCAACTGTCGTAATTCTCAACCTCAACAACAGCAAAGGAAATAAGGAACATATTTTCATTGGCATCCCTACCCAAGGCTGTAAGCAGCTGACCTCCAAAGGGACTCTTGAGGAAGCAGCCACCTAGACCTATGATAGGTCTACATCCTTGTAGTAAACCATTTTTCAACGCACCTAAACCATAATATATCCTCTGAAATGTAGCCCTTTCCTCAATATTTCGCCTATCAATTTGCAATGAAATATGACTATAAGGATTGGAATTTTTTACAGTAGCTACATAATCCCAAAGTCTGTGGTATTGCTCCATGTCATTGCCCCTGAGTGCCTCTAATGCTTTTTTGCTTTGTCCTGGCAGCTTTTTTTTGACTAATGTCTAGCATGAACAATCTTCTTGTCTCATTCACCATGCCAGGAATACTACACCCAGGATCATCTCTCATTTTGGCTTGAAATTTATGACTCAGATATGTTGAGGTGGCATGTCGATTGCTGTAATCCCTGCCACAATGGTGATCCCCCTTAAGAGTTTTGATCATAAATGTCTTTGATCTCTGGATTCTGCTTGCATGAATCCTCCAACTACACCCCTTTGCACATTTAGCTGTGATTCGAGACCCCTCATTTCTAATGTACTTGTGCTCATATCCCTCCCTAATACCCCATTCCACTAAAACCTCTCTAAACTTATGAAAGCTGCTAAATTTCTGGCCAATCTTTAGTTCAAAGTGCTCTTTTCTAAACTCTTCATCTGCATTGAAGTAGCTGTAGACAGGGGTGCTTTCATCATCAGAACCTATTCCTCTGTCAAACAGGTTTTCATCATCATCTACTGCCTCATTCCAATCCTGTTCCTGCTGATTTTGTTGCTGTTGTTGATGTTCATCTAAATCAGCTTCTGGGTTTTCGGTTGGTTGCTGATTTTCATGTTGTTTTTGGTGCTGTTCATCTAAATCAGCTTTGTTTGATGCTTTTGCTTGCTGATTTTCTTGTTGCTGCTCAGAAGGAATACCAACCGAATTTGCAGATCCAATATTTATAGACGCCTGCGTTGATCCTTGACCATGTAAACCTGCAAATATATCACCATCTTCAGGCAGTTCTACTGCTTCTCTTAGCCAGTCAGGAAAATCTGAGTAATCCAGTATGATTTCATCTTCTTCTCCGCCTTCATGAATTGGTCTTTCTCCATAACAATCAGTCTGCTCTGATGTTGGATCTCTCTTTGTCTGTGTTGTTTCTTCTGTTGATTTCCTTGTATGAGACTGCCGAAACTCTGAGGATGTATCACCTTCTTCTTTGTCTTTAAATAACCGCCTGACTGATTTCCTTGCGCTTAACTTTACTCTTTGTGACTTGACTTTTTTATCATTTCTTGTCTTCTTTCTCTTGGACTTGTCACCAGCATCATGTATCTTCTCTTTATGTGGTCCCATAACAGCTGGATCTGACTCCATTTGTGATGACTTTTCTTCGCAGACGTCCTTTACTTTGTTGTTAATGTCTGGAATGTCATTATTGTCCTCACTCCCAATTACTTCCTTGACCATGTCATCCTTGCCTTTAACAGTTGAGGACGAACTAATCTCAGCCTGCCAGGCATCATAATATGGAAGTGCAAGTATGCCATCACCAGTCACTCTCTTGTACAGTAATTTTCCTTCCGGGGACACAACTTCAATGGGATCAGACCCCCTCTCAGCATATATGTGCATTTCTTTAAGCCCCTCATAACATGTTGTCAATAATTCGATGTCCACATCATCATTGATGCTAACCACACCAACATCAAGGTCATGAAAGGGAATAGAGTACCAGAAATTCATATTTGTAACGCCGTGCTCAATGGTTTGGTACATTTTTTGAAACTGAAATACGGATAATTCATCAGGGTCGAAATCACAAAATACCCTAACATGTTGGCCAGTGTATCTAATTCTCGATTTCCATTTGAAATATCCACCATAATGCAAGTGTATGTCTACGGTCTGCCACGAATTATCTCCCATTTTTATGCACCTAACCCAAAGTAACCGAGATTATTTTACTAATTTCGTTTTCAAGTGTATCAAAAAACAGATATTCATTTACTCATTGCTTTTCAGATGTATCAAAAACGACATGCAATATTTCATACACTCAGTTTCAAAAACATAAAAAATGAACAACAACACACTTATCTAGAAGGATGAAAAACATAATCAAGGCCATAATCAAGACCAGTATGGACCAATGAAAATTCGATTACTCCCCAAAAACTCATATTTTTTTGCAGTATATTGCAATTTTTTAAATAATTGCACCCAAACATTGTCAGAAAAGCTTCTGACTAAGCCAAATCTTGACATTTTGCGTATTGTTATAAAAAAGCAAAAAAAATTCCCACAAACATTGTCGGAAGACTGTCGGAAAAGCTTCTGACCAAGCCGAAACTGACATTTTGCAATATTTACCAAATTTTAAAAACAAATTCCCACAAACATTGTCGGAGACACTTCTAACTAAGCCAAACATGGTGGTTCCTTTACCAAGTTTCAAAATATCCCCAACAATTTAGTACCAAAACACCTGCCATCAAACAAATCAACTCATCTAATGCATAAGGTTCATATATGTATTTTACCTGGTTTAGATATGCTCAATGCGTTGCGACTCTCGACCGATCTACACATAAACGCCGATCCATCTGCACTGAAGCACCGACCGATGTTCTTGGCTGTAGGTTTCCCGATCCGCATCACACAAACACCTTCTTTTTGGAATTAGCTTTAGGGTTTCTCTCTCTGAACATGAAATGTATCGCAAGCCCGACAGATCTTCACCATAACTCGCACCGCTCAGCAATACAGTTACCTTCTTCTTCGTTATAGGTTTAGGGTTTCTCTCTCAGTTTCTTTCATCCGCTCCAGATTGACTCATTGCATCTGTAACTTTTCACATATTATATATGAGGGTATTTTTGGTATTTCATATTATTACCGGCTCCCCAGCCGGTTAGTAGGTAAAATCCAAACAAGGCCAAAGCACAGGGGGGTTAAGTGGGAGTTTCTAAATAATGAGGAGGTTTCGTGTCAATTTCCTTAACCACAGAGGGGTTTTATGTACTTTACCCTAATTTGAATAAAGTACAAGTTTCCAGTAAACCTTTCGATCTTTTTAGGACATTACAGAAAAAGGGAATGATACTTGATCCGAATGTGTGATTGATTGATTCATCTGGACCAACATGGCCCATCAACCTAGCAGTATGGAAAATATTAATTTCACCTACGTTAATTTCCTATCACCTTCATCGCTATCTTTTTCATTGTTTCTACCCACAACCTTCCAGTCCATCCCATGATAATCACTAACACTTTGTGCATCAAGTTCAAAACGAAAATAAAAAATATCTGTATCTTATTTGTTTGGCCTTTCTTTCAAAAATAAGCTTGATATTAAAGGTTGTTTTGTAAGTTTCACTTCAAGGTTTATAATCAAGAACACAGTTTGAGCTAACCAAGGTAGTATGCAATTGGCAGTTTAGTTGAGACCATATTTGTCGCATGAATTTGAATATCCTATCTTTCACGACTGGGAAAGAAAAACAAAAATTGTTGCCAACCATTTCAATGATTAAGTAAAATTAAATGCGCTTAAACATATGATAGTTGCATGATTGCATTCCACTTTTTTGCCACACTACATTATAGTCTGTTCTTTCCTTTTATTTTTGTTGGAAAAAACCTCCTTTGGTGTGGATTTATCATACTGCATTAGTAGTTTATAAGTACATGGACAAAATTGCTAAAGAAGGGGAATCAATAACCAAGATGTGTGACTTTTTAGTCACTCTCATTTCCCTCTTAACAACTGGCGAGCACGGGATATACATATAATAATTAGCTCATTCCACAGTCAAATTTTATATTTATAAATTTTTAAATACCCCACACGTGATTTTTCGCAAGTATACGAGTCATTTATTGAGCATAGGAATATTAGGTGTCGATTTCACAGAAAAGATTGTCAATTACCAATGATTTTCGAATTTTTTTATTATTTAGACTATCACAAATGCAAAAGATTAAATCTATGCTACAAACATGAAATAAAAGCAATAAAAATAACAATATAAAACTCCTAGATATATGGAATTCCTGACCACTCTTATAAATGAATTACCGGTTAAGTGAATGCTATTATTTTGGCTAATTATGGTGTAATTTCCTAATATATGTGATACCCGTTTTCATCGGTGTACCAACTATATCTCTAGTTAATTTATACCTACTTACGTGGTTATTAAATTAATTACAAGCTCATTTTTTTTCTATAAAATTATATGAAACAAATCACTAAAATCACAAAGGTGCACCTCTACTTTCGTGAGTATACTCACTAGATTTATCACCTCCTTGAACTAGTGCTAAATTTCAATTTTCATTGCAAACTTAACACCTTAAAATTATCACAATTAATGCCCGATTAATTATGATTAGAAAAGCAAAAGTGATAAATAACTTGCTCAAAATAATATCATCAAATAACCAAGTAAATATCACTAACAAGATATAGAAAGTTCATCCATAACTTTAGGCATAAATTTTAACTACACATAAGGAACAAGATCCAAACTTGTATTATACCTAAACATGAAATCAAATACAAAAGAGAAAGTGATAGGAGAGAAGCCACCCTTATCACATGACCTCTAATTCTCTATCTTTACTCTTCAAATTTTCATCCAAATCTAACTACAAATGTAAGAAGAATAAACTACTCTAACTATACTATACTATATTACCCTAACTAATGAACTCAGAAAACTCTAATGAAAATTACGTTTTTGTGGAGTTTCTCTAGCTTTTCCAAAGTTTTTAAAATGTTCCCCAAAGGCCTCTATTTATAGAGGATTCAAGAGCCAAATTGAGTTATTTTTAGTTGGCATTTTTGACTCTTGAAACTCACAAAGGTTACTTCTCAAAATTTTCATACTCATCTGTTCATTTCCAGCCGGAATCTTTGCAGAAAAAGTGGTCAAAAAGGTTGTGTGAATAGAGCACAAGTTGCAGCCAGAATCCATGAAAACATGGGTAGAAAACGCGGCCTATGCCTGTGTTTGACCTCCCGTTTTGCTCTTTTTGTAGATTTACTCATTTTGGGCAGATTTCATCCTTGCTCTGTTTCTGGTCCAATTTCAACTGATATTTTCTCAATAATTGAGGCTGAACTAACTCTTGCACAAAACATGAAAATTGTAGCCTTTTGCGTTAGCTTTCCAATGGCTTAAGAATCCAATTTAGAGCTTTGTGAACCAAGAAATGACCA